GAGTTATATATATACAAATCACGTACACAGTGGACAAGAATTTGTGGCTGAGCAAAAAGGCAGCAGCTATTCTGAGGAGAATGTGGCAGAAATTGAGAAATATAATTTCACATTTCATTAAATCTCGGTGATTCCTTTCCAACTTTTTCACGTGTAAATTCAATATTATGAGTGGCTAAATATTTATATGTTAGGATTGATGATATAACTTAGTTTTTTATTATATGTTTAATTTCGAATTTTCATTTCATTTTAATACTTGTTAATTAATTATTGTGTGTTTAATGTTTTAATTGTCTGCGCAATAATTAATTGATTTATGGATAATACTGAGACCGAGATGTGATGCATATTTATAGCTCGTGCAATAATTGACATAGACATTAAAAGAGATTGAGAGATAATTATAAGCTATGCGATCTTTTTTGAATTCCTATAGATTAATGCGTTCATATGTGTGTAAATTTACATAAAGATATAGTAAGTTCAGGCATATGAATAGAATTAATGTTGTTTGAGAGAGTTCACTAAATACAATAGATTAATTCGATCGTTGGCACGTATGAAAAATTGTTGAATAAATTGGAATTAAATGTATGATAAATAATCTAAGTGAAATCGAAAATCCTAACTACCTCATCACATAATCTTATCCAGAATTTAAATTTGAGTTCGTTATTTTATTAAATAGTTGGTATTTTATTTATTAGAATTTCGCTTAGAAAACAATATTTGATTTGATTATTAGTTATCATTTTAATTTAAATTAAAACTAGATTAATTTAAAACTTTATAGCAGATAATAGTCTCTATGGGACGATATCCGAATTTTTTTAAAAAAAAATTACTTTATTATTTGTCACGATCCGTACACTTGCGGAATCTCACGAACACTAGGCTTCCGCCTACCCAATCTCTTTGTATTCGATTGTCCCCTATAAAGATTTGCCACCGATATATCTAACATATCAAGCATTTCACTCTCATCCCCCAGCGCCCTTTCAAACAGCCTTATTACATCCTCTGCCATGTTGATTTGATTCGAATGCCTAATTGATTTGGAACCCTCTCTATTTGACATCCTAATTCTATAGAATTCTTGGCTCACAAATGATCACTTGTGTATCACTCACTTAATGGCTTTTCCCTCTATTAATCTCATCACTATGCCTTTTACCACTCAATGCTTTCGTCAAAGTACTTTAAAGGATAAGGTGAACTCAGCAAAATGTGTTCCCGTGGATGCAATCGAGTATCATCACGAATTGTGATAGGAGGAAAGAAAAAAAAAAGATGAAGAACGATTCAAAAATAAGAAGGAAGTGAGGAGTTGTACAAATGAAACGAATAGAAAATTAAAGTAAAATGGAATGAAATTGAACAATTCATTTTTTTTACTCAAAAACTGGAAAGTGAAAACTGCTGGAAATTCCCGAAAATAATAATAATAATAAATTTTTTTAATTTTCAGATTTTTTTTAACTCGGGAATTCGACTACAAATCTAGCGAAACAAACGAAAATTAATTTGGACTTAAGTAGCCAAAAAAATAACTTTGACTCTTTTTTTGTACTTTTTTGGATCAATACTCAAAAATTAATAACTGACTCGAAGAACGTGAAGAAAAATAAAAAAGAAGAAAACAAGACTCAAATAGTAAAAGATATAACCTTGATAATCTTGGAGTCATGCTCTGATACCGATTGATGAGAACAACGTAGCAACGATCACAACGCCCGCAAAAGATTGACGGTCCCAAGAAAGCCCAAAGAATAATCTGGTTTAAAGTTTGAACCAAGAATAGTGAACCAAGAAACCAAACAAAACAGAATTTGAATTACCTCTTGATTACACAATGTGTGATCCACAATCGATGTTGAACGCCACAAAATTAACTTGATAAGTTCGTAAAGTTCTATGAATGTCAAGATTTGAAAGCAAAATAGACTCTCAATTAATTCTCAGTAATGGTGCGTAATACAGTGAAAAGAATGAGATCTACTTATATGGAAACTCTAAAAAACCTAGTTAAGATGTAAATAAATTCCTAAAAAATTACAAAGATATCAAAAATTTTAATCAAAAATAGAGTTTTAATGCAATTAGGAAACTTTCGGGGAAAAGGAAAAATTTCATCCCGAAAATGTACTATGCGGTCACATAGTACATTACAATGCAGTCGCATGGTTCATCTTTGAGCCTTCGATTTTGTCTCGAGAGATTGGTATGCGGTCGCATTCATTTTATATTATGCGATCGCATAGTGTTAAAAATGACACCCCTTTTTCTTGTGCAGAATCTCATGACGATTCCGAATTGTACTCATGGGCGAAAATCTGACACCCGAGCTGAAAGTTATACACATTTTCATCCACGCTACTCAATTGCTACTTGAACCGAGTTGATCCATTTGGTTTTTTCTTTCGAGCCCAACATGAAACTTGTTCCTTAACTTGTTAACTTTGACACTTCGTCCACTGTAGCTTGAGTAAGCAGTCACATCGCCTCTTTCACCCTCTTTGTCCTCCAACTTATCATCAGACCTCCTTCAATAATATTTAACGGGTCTCGTCTTAGGCTCGGTTTCATCGGGCTCGACTCCTGGATCATATCACTTGTACAATTTACTCCATTTAGACTTGAACTCAGTATGTGAGAAATTTTACTAACCATTTATTATGCTTGTGCATGCTATCAACTGCATCTTTGAGTTATTGTATATTGTTGATCTAATTCCCTTCGTAATTTGTGACAAAAAGGGAAAGAGATAGAGATGGGCATTTTAATCTAATTTAACTACATTTTAGGGAGAGTTTGCAGTAAGGGGGAGATAATATTATTTCATGATAGTATTGGGAGAGATGATCATTTAGAATGCTTGCTTAGCTCTTTTGAGTTTTGATATTTTGTTATATTAATGTTTCAGTTGGTATTTTGATTAACATTAGTATTACTTCTCAATCTAACTAATATATTTATGATTGACTGTTTCATTTATTATATTTTATGTGTCACGTGTTTTTACACTTGGTATTTGAGGTGTTGATTTCAAGAAACGGGTTTCAAGGAATGCAAGATCCAAACATTCAGTTTGATTTTGGGTAGACAGTTTGTTTTTACATCGTGGACTTGTATTGCATAGTTTTGTCACATAATACCAAATGAGGAGATTGTTAGGATTTATGTTGTATTGGTAATTTTTTAGACAAAATGATTTTTATAAAAGAATATGATAACTATAAAAGAGTTATAAAATCAAGAGTCTTTTAGAGGGTTGTATAGATGAACTAGAAGTGTTTGGGTTCGAATGTGGAAAAAACTTGTCAAATTTACGCTAGCTTGTCGCCAAATTGATACTCAAGCGGAAAAAGCAGAGTCATGGTCACCTGCTTATCGCTCGAGCAACACACCTCTCACTTGTTTGTCGCTAGCTTGTTGCTCAAGTGACGATGTTATACGTGAAACCCTAATTCGTTATTTTCAAGAGTTCTATCTATCATATACTACCTAAATACCTCTTATTATAAATACGCAATACCTAGTACGTTTTTGTGTGTGGTTGTTCATTATTTTGCATCCTCATTACATCAACACAAGATCAAAGACACATACAAATATTGAGATTAAACTTTTGATTATTGAGATTAATCAGTCACAAGTTGGAGAAAAACACCAAATTCATGTAATCCAAAGCACTCGCTTTCTAAACACAATCAGGAAGATAATTTCTCAATAGCTTTCAGAGGTTGGACCGCAAGTACAATAAGAGTACAAAAACAAGGTACTATTGGTGATCCACAAGAAATAGAAAATTTCAGAAGATCCGGAGCAGATATGAGCGAAGAACGTTCTAATAGGTCTTAAAGATTGTAGGAATTAGATGAGCGAGTCTAGAATGTTTTCTAGGTTGGATCATACTATATGTTATTATCGTTTATAGTGGAAGTTACTAACTTGGTCCCTGAGTTTTTACCCAATTAAGGGTTTTCTACGTCAACAAATCTTGTATTATTTATTACTTCAATTATTATTGTGGCAATTCAACATATGATAAAATTGATTTGATTAACTAAAAGCGTAAAGCAATTAAAAGTGACTTGTTACTTTAAATTGATAATTTTAATTCCGCATTATTCACCTATTACATGATTTTAGAGTTTGAACTTGTGACTTTCACACAACAAGCCCATTACCTTAAAAAAAAAAAAAAAAAGGTAAACAACAGCCCACAATTGCTACCCAATATAGCAGACCCCTCAACCCGGCCTAACCTCAACCTTCATCTTCTATAAGTGGAATTTGAACCCCGTTTACACTAAGGGTTCGTTTAATTGCAAATGTGAAAAATGGGTTGAAATAAAATGAATTTCAGGTAGTTGAATTGCTTAGAAATTGTTTTATTGGGAATTGTAATTAATTGTGTTTGATTTGTATAATTTTCCACCTAAAAAATGTTGAAAGTTTGGTATTCGTTTGAATATGTTTTTTAAGAAAATTGTTCATGAAAATTATAAGTTTTTCTACCATTGGGTCTAGAATTTGTTTCAATTGCCAAAAACAATAAAAAAAAAAATTACCATACCAAATACCAATTGTTTGGCTTTGTTTTGTATGAAAATTGTCCATTAAAGGAAAACATTATTTTACCATTATTGATAGAATTTTTTCCAATTGCCCAAAAAAAAAAAAAAAAACAAAAAAAAAAAAAAAAAAAAAAAAAAAAAAAAATTAAAAAAAAAAAAACCAACAAAAAAAAAAAAAAAAAATTNAAAAAAAAGTATCAAACATGCAAAAAGTGAAAATTGGAATTCCTTTTTTTATTTTCCATGGAAAAAATGGTAAATCTAACATAGCCTAAATCATCAATGTCTTTAAGAAATAAAAGACCCACTGTTTCAAGAATTGCAACGAAAGCTTCATCATCCATAGAATTAAAAATATGTAAAAATACAATTAAATACCCAAAAAAAAAAAATACAAAGACTACAAAATATTTCGAATTAGAATCTAGGGTTTCTGCAAAGTTTGAAGGGGCGAAATCGAGTAGATGAGAATCTCATTTGTGTGTTCTTGCCCAAGAGCTGTACTGCAAAAATAAAATAAAAAATAAAAAATAAAAAAAATTTCCTCTCAATTAAGTGTTGTCTTGAAATCTGATTTATGAGGGTGTTGTTTCATTTTATTTTTCCCTTTTTGGGTTTTGAGCGTGATTGCGTTTTTTCCTTTTTTTTTTTAACAAGCATAAAGAAGGGAAAAACAGAAATAGAAATTAGGGATATCAAAATGGTTTTGGGACGGCAAAAATTGTATCGCACTCAACGTATGGAAGAGTCACACGTTGACAAAAAAATTTCAATTGTCAAGTACCATAAGATTCACAGTTTGACAAAAACTCTATCAACCGTGGACCGCCACAAGAATCATACGTTGATGAAAATTCTGTCAATTGTGGACCACCACAAGAAACTCACTCCTCTGAGGTTAAGGTATACCAAAAAATTTTTAAAAAATAATAAAAAGTAAGGATTCTGTATAAAATATATGAGATAGGCTCAGATACCATGACAAAATTTTGAATGAGTGATCTTCTCTGTAGGGATTCCTTACATTATATAAGAAGAGTATTATCTCATACAACTATAATGTCAATTTAAATATGGTAGATGTGATCAACCGAAATATGATTAGTACAATTATATACACAATTATGTTAAATCATAATTTTTGTTATCTTTATCGATCTCCATTATCACTTTCGATCTCATTGACAACGTAGAGTCAAATTTTTCGACAAGCTTCTAGTTAACTATTCATTTGGTAATTACAAGCGTTTGCTTCTTTCACAGATAAAGAGCTCTTATTTTTTGAAGTGATATTACTTTCATTCTAACACGCACATGGATTGCACCAAGTTTGAAATTTGAAATTTTTATAATAATGTTATTAGGCTTCTTTTTACTGACTTGTAATATCATACAATTGACCAATCTCTACCAGAATGGTCAAACTAGTACCTCGTCCAGTTATCTCGATTGTATCACTAAGAAAGTTTTTGATTTGGTTTGATTCTCTTGGCTCTGGAATACAGGAAAACTCCAGCAAGTGCAATAGCAGTTCCTGAGAGCAGGCAGAATTGCAAAGGCCTAAATTAAAACTGTAGAAACAGAATCCAAAGAAGAGAAGTGATTTAAGATTAAATCTAAGAAATTTACCGAGGGAATTTGTCGGTGACACTGGTGTTTGAAAGAATATTATTGAGGATACAATTACAACCACTCTCTTAACACAATTTCCCACTGCATGTGTCACCGGTGATACCATTTGTAGTATCATATAAGAAACCTACCGATCAGAAAAAGATTTAAGTTACTTATTTTGACGATAAAGTAAAGTTACTCTCAGAATAACTAATTTTTTTTTGTTTTTAATTAAAAGTAAGAAAGAAGAAACATATCCAAGATGTTCGGAAACAAAAGGTTATATAGAAAGTATATTTTACATTTTTAAAGCTTAGCCAAACATGCTCTTATATGCTTATGGTGCTTGAGACTGGACAGAATTACGGGTATAAAAAGAATGTTAAAATCTTGTTTGTTATACCATCCAATTAGGACTTACGTCAAATGTGCACTCATTGCATTAGAGAGCTTTCATAAAGTCTGCACTGGAAGGATTGAGTTGAACTTGTGGCCTGCTAAAATTAAACAATAACGAAACGCAAGACTTGTTCCTAATAAGTTTTGGGTCGACCAAGTGAATCCCTTTTCACCACTTTGATGGGTTCATTACTATCTAAAGCAACTCGATCCTCAACAACTATAAAATAGCCATATTAATTTAGTTCAACCCGTCTTCCAACGTGAGATTGCATCACTGTGACTAATGAGGACATCTTTAGGCCTATATACGTGACATGTCCCAACCACTTAGATCGTTCTTTCTTTAATTTATCCTCAATTAAAAACAACATTCATAAAATAAAAAAAGTTATGAAAACATGAGAGACATCACCTGCTGATATGTATGGAAGCAGAAACCAGCTAAAAGAGCTCTTATACAAAATTCTTTGACATTTAATCCTTGACTTGCCTACATTATAATAAACAAAACATGAAAAATGTAGTACTAAAAAACCGTAGGAATTAAGAATGACAGCATTTTAAGGTAAGAATTTAGCTACTTTTATATACTACTTACAGCATATTGCAGGTATGCTGGACTAAACTTGACTCCATCCATCAAAATGACAGCCGGCATCAGTAGAAGAAACGAAATGATCGTTATAATAGAGAAGAGATTGATATTGTCCAGTGTTTCCTGATAAAATCAGCATAAAGTTAGCAGTACATTGTTGAATTCGGATCGTATTATCATGTAATCAAAACCATCATATTGTTTATATAGGAATTCTAGAAACCATCCCCGGCCTGACCTGTCCTGACCGAGAAAATTAGAAACCGGCCAAGAAACCAGTTCCATTATATCTTAAAAATCATTCTTAAAGTATAATTCTCGATCATGTTAAAAAGAATAATGCAAGAATAAAACAAATGACTAACAATGGACTCCTACCTCCTTAACCATGAATTTTTTGCTGAACACATTTCGAGATTGATTCGTTAGATTAGAAGCCATTGCACTGCCAAATCCTATCCTGTGTTAACACAAAATCTATTATCAGGACACCAAGGTCAAGCACAATATCAGATAAAATTCCTTGGCAGTCACTGACTTATCAGCAAAAGTGAAATCTCACCTAGGTCGCCTAACTTTTTTTGTGTCAAACGGGTCCTTTGATTCTTGATAGTCAGAAAAGTTTTGAAAAACGTGTTCTGAAAATTCGACTTCAGTAGAAGTGTTTCTCTTAATAGCTAGAATAACATGTTCATACCGATAGAGGTTAACGGCTGCAGAAGACTTCTCCATTAGTTTGACTAATAGGAGTGGATGAAGTGAGGTGAATTATAAGTTCAGTGACCATTCGAAAAAAAATTCAGTGACAGATGAGATTTCACCAAAACTACCAATAAATTTTACTTGAAGAATGTGTTTATTCCTGATTTAGAACTGAATAACATTAGGCTCGTACCAATTGAAAGAGGCCTCAGTGAATGATGCCAATGCCACTCCACCAACAATAGGCAGAAGGGAGGAAACTACCCATAAAGAGGGCATCTGTGTGATCAAACTGAAAGTCAAATGACTTCAAATGATAAATGATCCATAAGGATACATCAATTATACAAAGCTTCCAAAAAAAAAAACTGATGTACATAGGCTTCATAACACAAGCAGCATTTCCTTAATTTGATGGCCAAATGTTCGGCCACGAATAATCAAAGGTTCTATAGACGCTAAAATCCATCTTTTATGTGTGTATGTGTGTGTGTATATATATATATATATATATTATAGCTTGTATGTCATACATGTGACAATTATGTGTAAAAGGTTAACAAACCATCTCATATACGTGTCAAATTTTTTCATTTTTTTATCATAGGCAGCATGTCTCAATTTTTCTTAAATTAAATAGGTGGCAACATAACTTGGACTACATGCTTTAATTTCATATTGAACTACTTTGTCTAAAAGCTCAAGTTATTCGAGGGACAACAAACAAAGTTGTTTACTTTATGTTTTTAACAGCAAACGTTATCTATCAGAGAAGTAAAACTGATCATTAACAAAAACACACGCCCCATATCTTCTAACTGCAAAATCCACTATAATAATATATAGGAAAACAGCAAACCTCTCCAAGTAATAGAGCGGAAAGGAACACCGTGAAAAATGGCTCCATTGCTTTGATTGTATGTGTGAAAGAAACAGCCACTTTTCCAAGACTGATATTTGTTAAAAGATTGCCTATTGTGTGCCCCATAGCCAGCAGACATATCGCTGCAAACTAACCAGACATATATAGAATCATGTTAGATCACAAACAAAATGATAAACGCAACATAACATGGTGATGTTTATGAAAAGAGTAGGAAACAAAATGCTATAAAAATGTGATACGAAAAATATAAGTTTTTATATTAATTCATGTTAAAAATAAAATAATATTTTCTATCACATCAATAATTTTTTCCTTTTTTAACCACATATTTCTCATCGCATCAAACAAAAAAACACATTCTTGTGGAAATAATGTGGCTCAAACAGGGGCTTAGTTTTGATTAAAAAATAATAATTTTAGTAAATTTTAATTAAAAAAAACTAAAAAAATGTTTAGATGAAAAGTTGATAAAATTCTGAATCTCATAAAATGTGTAATTAAAAATGAATTTTAAAGAGTAGAGACTAAATATTTTGACTTTTCAAACTTCTACTAGAATTTTGGAAGGCTCTTGTTTGATTTCGGTTTATAAATACTCGATCCAATTTTTATTTACACACATTCCACACATTATATAAATACTAATCACTTATTCACCATTCAATTTTATCTGTTTAATTTAGACTATTGATAAACACTTTCAAAATATGCTTTATAGATTATTATAGAATTTTCTACATAACCTAAACTACAGAAATTATGACTTCATATGCCAGAACAAGAACAGACTATTAAGAAAATATGTTAGTCCACATAAATATTACCTGAGATCCATTAATCTTGGGTTTAGGGTGGAGATTTAACGTCCACATTAACAAAACAAGCACTGTCCCACACCCAAACTGGAATGCTGTTACTGTTAATGGAAATGGATAAACCTTCAGAACCTGTAATCAACTATTTGCAATTACAAATATTACAAATTATGTCAAAAAAAAAAAATTCGGGTCGACACTGTAAATCCTCTGGTTATTGCTACATTAATGGGAATATTCAAAACAAACTTCAGTTTAGTTGACCTTATTCAATGTGTTCTACTCACATCACACCATTCTTTTCGACGTAATAGGAATTAAAAGAAGAGAGATGTTACTTGTCCCGGGATTAAATCTGGGGTCAAACATTTTTATTAAAAGAAAAAAAAAAAAGAAATATTAAAATATTAAATAAAGAAAGACAAACAGAAAGAAGAAAATGGACCTGTTTATTGTAAATGTTGAAGTAGATGTTTAACAGATACCATACTGAAAACATTGATCCAAGCTGCAAAGTCTTGACCATGTCATTGCTGCTATTTCCAGACTCACTTACACTTTCAGGAACTGCGGCAGATGACTTAACCTTGAACTCGAATGATGTTCGAGACAAATATTCCTTATTAAAACTCGAAGTAGAACTTCGAGAGAGAATGCTATGGGACGATTTGATGAATGATTTTGTCGAGTTACAAAACAAAACTGCACTAAATCCGTTGCTGAATCTGTAGCTGATTTTTCTGAATGGAATTTTTGTAGACTTGATGAATGTTTTGAAAGGAGATAGAGCCAATGCGTAGGTCTCCATTATTTTTTCTTTTCCTGATTCTTGTCAAGAAAATTAATTGATATAACGCGTTGGACTTATAAAATTCATGTTTGTACTCGTTTAAAATTGACGGTTGGTATTGTTCCATGGGTCATAATAACATGGCATTCCTCCATGAATCAATCATGCTAAGTGCAAGATTTTTTTCATTGTTCCCTTCTATTACTTTATGATTGACAAAATATTGAAAATTTAAGGTAATTAACTCGAATCATGAAATTCAAAATAAAAGATTATTCCGTTCTTCATAACTATTTACTTAATTCATGAATAGGAACATATTCAAGATCGAAGTTGTGAGGAGTACCATAGTTATTAAATTCGAACCAGACATATTGGTTCAATCAAAAAATCTGTGATCAGAATCGTGGTCGGATATGAATAGCATATTTGGATCAATTAGCTATTTCCACCAACTTAAAGTGCCATTTTGAAATCCATTTATGTACTGAAATATCCGGTTGAATAATTGACCGAATCTTTGTTACTAATCATTTGTGTTGAATATAAAAGAGCAAATTATAGATACAGCCTTGAGGTCATCCCCTTTTCAAAAATTATGAAAATCTCTCCTGAATATCATTACAAAGCAAATATATAATTTATCATTTTACCATTTTATTTATACTAGTTTGATTTTTTCTTTTTTTTTAAATTTTAACTCTTCCGATTATTATATTCAAAGTACCATCCTTTCTTCTTTATTATTTCGATTTCGATGTAACGATTAGTTTTAATTGAAAGAGGTACTATAATAAATAACTATATAGTCTTTTAAAATTATAAAATATAATTTTTTTTTTTGAGTTATTTATTTTGCAAATACGATTAGAAATAATTAACAAATCAACAAAATACATGTTTTAGAATCCTTTAATAAATCTAATTAAAATTCATCAAATATTTATAATTTTTAATTTATTAGCATTTTCTAAATTTTTCATTTTTTTATAATAACATGCTAAGTTTAGAAAATTGAAGTAATATTATCATAACATTAAAAATGAAATAAAGTCGACATCAAAATTTTAAAGTCTAGATTTCTATTTACTTCATTTTTGAAGTAAATAATTCATGTTATTTTTTAAATGAAAATCAATTTTAAATTAAATTAAATTAATTTTCTTTAAAATGAATCCATTTGTTAATTTTTTCTAAATAAATATTAAGAGAAATAAGAAAAGAAAAAAAAAGAGTTAAATGGAAATATTATGCTAATACTAGAGACTTTTGTAGTTTTCAAACTAATAGATAGTGTCTTCGTGTTTTTTATAAACTTCAAGTGATGCTTATTTAATTTACTCGAATAGAAATGTTAATTGCTTGAAAGTTATTTGAGGAGAATGTTTCATTGGACTCAAAGTTACTTTTATATGAAGTAAGTCTTAATTTCTTAAATATTTTATTAATCAATAAGTAATTTTAACTTAGCTTTACGCACAATCAAGCATTGTCAATGTTATTCAGAGCATGCCTGGAGGAAATTACAATCCACATTTAAGCAAGACTCCAACCGTTGAAGGGGCCCCACCTGACAGCCAAGTTTGACTTGCACTCACATGGTTTTTAGAAGATTGTGCACAATGGTTGGTATATCAATTTTAAGATGTGGAACAATTTCTCTAGCAAATAAAGGACCTGAGTTTAAATTTCGGTGTTACTCGTTTTCAAAAAAAAAAAAATTGTTAGCTATTGACTAATACAAAATGTATATAGTGCAGAAGGTGTGTTAAAAACATGAGTTTAAAAAAAAAAATGCATTCACTTTTAATAGTTTAAATTTTTATATAAAACAACTTAACGCTATAATATGTAGACTCGTACGAGAATGGTGAATGGACCTGTGAAATTTGTGTAATAATGGAGAGGAAGTTTGGATTGGTGCTACGTGATGGTTATGGTTTTGGATGATTTTCACGTTGATATTCTTGTGTTCCAAATTTGCTCAATAAAAAAATGTGGTATGTAAAACTTCCTTCCAGCCGCCTTTGTGGACCTTAACGAATACCTCCAGTTGGCTGAAGATGACCATTGCTTGTTCAAATTGGCCTTTTCATTGAAGTCGACAACGACAAATAACATGCCGTTGGTTTGAGGTTATTAAGGCCGTTCACAACTTATCCAAACTTCACTCCTTTTTTATTTTAAATGGCATAAAAACATTTCAATAATGCTACACGTACAAAGTCCCCTTCCAAAATGACGTTTACGTCTAGGATGTAATCTCGGTGGACGGTTGAGATTCGAAAACAGTAAAAAAGGGACAGATAGGCGCCAAGACCCGTCTCCACTTCAATAATGAAACCAGGACAAAAAGTCAGGGAGTGGAAGGCGCCAAAACCATTTCTCCCATCTTCCACTACCGCCAAGAAAGGTGAGAAACCCAGAAGGTGAGAAAGTCCGATCGTCATCTCTGGCGGCTGTGCAGGTCCGACAGTGAAGTCCGATTCCCATCTCCGACAGTCCATTGATAGGTCCGACATCCTCCTTGTTTTATCTTGTGTGGGACTTGGGAGGCAGTGGCGGACCCAGGAATTTAGTTCACCACGGGCAGAGACCGGTGACAGCTGATCGTTGACAATTAATGGTCATAATAGCCGAAAATATAATTCGATACAAATATAAATGCACTAAAACGCAAAAAGTTTATACATATGAAAATATGTGTCAATACTACCCTACTCTGTAAATGTAAACTTAGACAACTACATTCTTCGGGTCTCATATTTTGAAAACGTTGCAGTATTGCCTCATTCTTAAGTTTTACAAAAATATCTTTTTCCACGTAAACCGTCAAATTGTCATTCAACTAGTCGTCTTCAATGTCCATTAAATTAAAATTGATTTAAAAGCAGTTTATACATAGTTTATTTGATCTCAATACCTCCTCCGATGTCCGTTGAACCTAATTTCCCAATATTATTTTTTTCACTTATTCCTAATTTCCTAAAAACCTAAATTCTCAATCACAATTCACAAATCAAAATTATAGCTCAAATTAATCACTAACGCAAATATCGAATTTGTCGTTGTCATTATTCATTAATGCAAATCAGATAATATTCTCAAATTCACAAATTCTCGATTTTCATAAATCATCAACCTTAACATTCGGCAACAAAATCCCCAGTTTCAAAATCCTCAATATTCTTATATTCTCAAATTCACAAAATTCAAAATCAGGTTAAAATGTAGTCTTCAGGCACAAAATATATATGCAAATATAATTCAATACAATCCAAAAA